AATTAACATTGATCACTCAGTTAAGAATTTGTAACATAATAAAATAATCTGTAAATTATAAAATAATATATATTATGGTCCTACAGTCTTAGTATAAACAATTTTATTATATTTCTTCTTTGTTGTTCAGTTTGCGAAACGATCGAATGCAGACGTGTATATGTCGCTTTTAAATAATTTGATTTAAACTAACATTTTTAATTATTTTATCAGCTTATGCTTAATTATATAAATACTCAATTAATTATATTCGATTTTTTCGAAATGAAAAATTTGTGTCAAAGACAGGATTCGAACCCATGACTTTCGGCTAAATACGCCGCTGCTCTACCACTGGAACTACCGTGACTTAGATCACCCATGCCACAAACTTCTGATTTCAACTCCCCGTTTAAAGTTAGTATTAATCAAGAACCACACCTGTGAATCGTACACGGTTCTGCCAAATTAGTTCAATCGTTAATAAAAAAAGTTTTTCTATATGAAGCCGCGATTTGCTTACAATTGGAATAAAAAGGGGAATCGAAATGAAAAACTTGTGGCATAGGTGATCAAATTCACGGTAGCTCAAGTGGTAGAGCAGCGGCGTATTTAGCCGAAAGTCGTGGGTTCGAATCCCGCCTGTGACACAAATTTTTCATTTCGAAAAAATCGAATATAATTAATTGACGTTTTGTGTTTGCCAGTTGGTAAACTTAATCAAATAAACTTCCATCCCGAGTTGGGTATAATCTGTATAATTAATATTCCGAGTCGTACCTCGCACCTTGACCAGTGAAGAGGACTGTTGTCTTATCTGTGTAAAAGGTCTCGCTACATTCCATTCACTTTCCCTATTTCTGCTGCTTGTAAGTTACATTTTACGTAGACTTTATCAATTTTAATTATAAGTTTTTATCTAAGGTTTTGGTTCAGATCAAAAAGATAGTGGCACGAGCGGGATTCGAACTCACGACCTTCGGTTCAATGGGTTTGAATCACGCTCGTTACTCTAACTTTTTCAACTCAACCAAGACCTTAGATAAAAATAATAATTAATATGGTCAAATATGACCGCTAAACATATTAATGGTTTAATTATAAAACGGAGTACGCCTTATCAACTTTTTTTAATTCTTGAAGATTGTCTACGTCACGTGTAGATTGATATATTTTGCCTCGAAATGGATGAATTGGACCAAATCGATGAAAACACTTACAAAACTAGACTCCCACGAAACTGAAGTGTGTAAAATTAATGAAAAATTCAGAGCAAAATTGACTGCATTAAAGGAGGAAGTTTTAGAATAAAAGAAATATAACAAACCAAATCGGAGAGATTTATCAAAATTTAATCCAACGTTTAACTTTAACAATTTAGGTAACAAATTAGTACTGAACCGTTAAAACAAAAAAAAGCTCTATAATGGTAAAACTTACATCAGTATCGAAATTGGATTCTAAGTTGAAAAGGACTACCGTCATCTGGAAAAACACCGTTGATCATTTTCAACGATAAAGGTAAAATGATAGGACATGCCGTCTACCATCGTCATTACTGATCGTAACAACGATCCAATTTGTGAATTTCTGAAATAAACGGTCGTATTGAACAACAACATCATGATAAAAAATAATATTAAAAAAATTTCAAGATGACTTCAATCTCTATTATATTCATATTGGTAAGAAAGGGAAAAATTATCATTTGTAAATAGGAATATTTCCTTTTTCAAGGATTAGTGTTGCAATACTCAGTACTCAATATTTACTGCTCACAATGCCCGGAAATCAGCCTTCCTAACGGTTTTTTTAAAGCGATTATTCGTTTCCGTGTTAATCTGTGAATTAAAAATACGTGACTAAATTAATTATTTGATTCAAGTCTCATAGCTTTTGAGATAAGCATAAAAATGAAAGTTAAACTAACTTACTTACATTCATTATTTACGTCCTCACAACCACTGTCTAATAAGTATAATTAACTTTTTATACCATGTTTTTTAATAAGAAGTGATAATTACTATTGGATTGCATAGATTACAACATACTACGTACTCCACCTGGGACAAGAATCCGACGTTGGAACATACAGCAGAAATTTAAAGACTGGGACTGTTTACTTTCTAAATTATTCGACCGACGATTCGAATTCCCTAAAAAAAATTACGATATACAGCTGAATCCGACTAAAAAATACAATTTTCAATCGATGGTGCTGTAAAATAAATCCCCTATTTTTAATCTATCCATGAAATTTATTTCAACTATTTTATTTTTCTGTAATCCTCACAAACCTCAGAAAGTCTAGAATATTTCTAGCATCCTCAATAAATCCACACTACCTTAAGAGGTTAAAAAACGGTCTTTATGATATATTTTTTTATAAAAAAATGCGGTAAAAATGTTTTGTTTTATTTATCAAAATTAGAATTATGTGCGTACATTAAAAAGGATTTGATTATGTATTAAGAATGATAATTTTTAGTAAAACGTCAAGTTCAGTAAATCCAGTCATACAAGAGAGCTTAATGAGCAAATCAAATACCCCATGTAGAGGACGAGGGGTCAATCCATTTTACAATACTTTCTCCATATTATTCAAAATGATAAATCCATGTGGTATGCCGGGATTCGAACAAAGGACCCCTAACGTGGTAAATACGAGTCGGACGCGATAGATACTCGGCCCTAACCCATTAATAGTAGTTCTCGGGCTTTAAAACATATATAAAAGTATTTGTCATCGTAGTATTGTTTCCAGAGTTGTAATTTAATAATCATGTCTTACGCCGAGAATTTGCCGGCTTCGCTCCGTGGAGACGGGCGGGGTTACTTAATGAATTAAGAATATTAAACTTAATATTAAATTTAAAAAAAGATGGGCGCCACGCTGTTTATGTACACGGAAACAGCGAACCGTAAAATTAAAATAAAACAAAGAAAATTCAATAACAGTAAAATTAACACAAAGAAAAAAAAAGAACACAATATTTACATAAGGAAACAAAAAAATACATTTATTCCAATGGAAACCAAAATATTAAACATAGATTGATCTTAATTCTCTACGGGTAACATTTTAACAAACTTTCACACTAAATGAACCTAAATTATCATAAAATCTAAATAAACATTCCTTAAAACTAAACTTTCCTGGGAACCAGTGTCCAGATATGCTTCTTTCCAGGCGCTTGAAAATCCCCGCTTCTAGGAGTATGGAGCACCTTCTCTGAAGTTGAGTGGGTCCGCGATCGCCTTCGTTGATTTTCTTTGCTCCGGCCAAGCCGTAGGGATATCCGTCTCGACGCACACTGTCCTCTCTTTTTTTTTCACTCCTCTCCCCTCTCATAAGCCGGGAGACCGTCTTAATTTTGATTAACCCACCGCCAATTTTAGTTTAGGTGGCATTACAATTCAGGAGGCATCTCTGGCCAAACAACAACAATACACTTAAAATGTTATGTTTTCATACTATGTTACGTTTTACGAACGTAACACATGAATGCCTGATAGAAGAAATGTTACTATTTATTTTTATTAATTCATTAAATTTTTTAACGAGGGTCCGCAAAACAGGGGTTATATCAGCCCTCTGGGTACTGATATTTTTGAAACAAAAAATCCCATTTGTAAGTATGTATGGTTCGAATACAGTGCCGCTGGATTCGAACCCGGGACTGTTACCTTACAGTGATGAGCGCCGTCTTAAACGTTGCGGCCACCGGCGATTCTCAAATGTTGCTGTTAATCAACTGAATTTTAAGATACGCGTGAATTTTAAACGTGACACATATTTCATTTAAAATTTCCTTCAGGGAATAGAAAATGTTGGTTATCGGTGAATTTCATATTTGCAAAGCCTTCTCGGATTATGAGGTCGTTTTTCACGATTGTATCCACACAAAGTCGTGCTACATAAGGCATGGTTCGAAAGTCAAATATCCTAAGTTTTTTTTGCCAGGCTTACTTTTTCTTGTCTAATTTATTTATCATCTGGCTCCACAGCGGGGCTATTTTGAAAAATGAAAGGTGGAATTGTGAACCGAATACTTTCGGATTTTTTTTTCTGTCGAGAAATAGATTTATGTAAGACATGCACGCTGTCTACATAGGCCAGATGGTTTCACTATATTTTAAAAGTTAATGATAGCGTTTAACAATTTTGATTTAATTTTAGAAATATAAATTTTAACATGTTTTACGTCCAATCCACCTAATCTGTCTTACAAGTAGGGCCGACGGACGTGACATGGATATTAAAGAAACATTTTTAGTAACACTAGGTCGAAAAATGAGACACCTGTTCAAACGTTCTTGCCAATTGGCAAAAAGAGCCGGGAAAAATTAATTTTAACCAATTGGTTAAAATGTAATTTCAATAGCTTTTTAAAATATAGTTTTCTGTTTTCATTGCGCGTGAATTTCATTCAAAAAAGTTAAAGTTTTTAGTTAAATATATCACAATAAATTTTAAGTATATACTAAAAATCGACAACACGAACTTCTTAGCAATAAAAAATATGTTTTTGAGTAGGAATAGCAGGGGGACGAACTCCACTCGATTTCATCCTTGCTCGATCTTATAACAACCAATTATTCAATTAGCATTAAAATCGTGTGAGGGAAAAATTGAAAAGATCAAAAATAAAAAAGGCAGAATTATATGCGGAATGGCGTAGCAAACGCAAAGCTAATTTCTTTTACAATAATTATATTATTAAAGTATTTATGTACATCAGATTCTGTTTTAGAAATAATTTTAATTATTCAGATATCGTGAGATGCGGTCGGGTGTGATGTAGGTTTCAGAAAAACATTTTGCCCTCTCAACACGACACGCAAGGATGGCATAATTACACAGAAGACAAACACTTTGAGCCCTGAAGATGATCTCAATAAAAGATCGAAACGTTGGCACGATAAAGAAAATGTTTTTCTGAAACCTACATCACACCCGACCGCATCTCACGATATCTGAATAACTATCGATTAACGGTCACTAATCTCTACAAATAATTTTAATGTAGATGGTGGACTGGCATGTGGTGGAGGGCGTGCCCAACTCTTTTGACTTCAGCGTTGAAACCATTTTTGTGATCGGCGGTGTAATGGACTTCCCTCACTGTACCATCGGCTTCTTTCAGCATGTAGAATCCCTTGACAGTGTCACCTTCCCTGCTTTCATGATGAGATTTAACGTCTCCTGTGTGCCCGTCGTGGACTTTGTACTCATAGCTGTAATGATGTGGTTCCTAAAATTAAGCAAAAAATTGGTTCAACCTATTCCCAAATAATTAGACTTTAAAATATTGAATTTACATGGTGGCCATGATTTTCTTCCTCTTTTAGGTGGTACACTGGTGCTGGTGCTTCTTGGTGTATGGCATGTCCAACTCGTTTGACCTCAGCGTTGAAACCGTTTTTGTGATCGGCGGTGTAATGGACTTCTCTGACTGTACCATCAGCTTCTTTCAGCATGTAGAATCCTTTGACTTTGTCTCCTTCCCTGGTCTCATGGTGAGATTTGACGTCACCTTTATGCTCGTCGTGCACTTTATATTCGTAGCTGTAATGTGGTGGAGCCTGGGAAAACAGAAAATTCCTCTTAGTCTGTTGAAAATTCAAATACTTTTATAGACTTACATAATAGTCGTGATGTTCTTGCCCTAAACCTTCTTCGCTATGTCCTTCAAGTGGCGCGCTAGTCGCTACAACGATGCAGGCGAATAAGACTACAAAGGAGTTCATTGTCTGTGGCTATTCACAAGTGACTGATGCTCATTTACTTTCGCATTTCAGTTTTTATAAGAAACACACGGAACTGAACCGTACAGGGTTAAGAAATTTATCCTTAATTGTAAGGAATTTAGTGTTATATATCGGAGAAAACCGATGGAATGTATGATTAAATGTTGGAGTATTCCGTTCAATGGGCAAAATTTTAATCCAGTATGGTAAATCTTGGGTGAAAATTTCTTTATTACAAATTTTTATATATAATAATGAAATAATATGTACGACCGTATAATTTTATATAATATAATATAGTATTGGGCCCTATAATTAGGGTCAAGAGGGTAATCGGGTCTGCGCCGAAAATCACGAAGACGCAGCATGGAAGATGGCGAAATGCCGAAATGCGTCTGGGAGGCCAAACTGGCGAAGAAGGGCAGAAAAAAATTAACAATAACTAGATTTAGAGATTAGGTATCTAAAAAAATACAAAAACCAAAGTACAGAGGTTCCATTTTTTATTTTCGAAAAAATCGAAGGCATTTAAAAAGTGAACATTTGGGATTTTTTTTTGGTGAGCGAAAAAATGAATATCAATATTATTTCTTGTTATTTGTTGTTTTAAGAGAATATCACAAATGTTTAGATTTATAGATTTTAATGCTAATCGGAGGTACGTGCTGTACTACGATTGTGAACCTTTTTTAAATTAAAAAACTCCCATTACAAATTGCTGAAGAATTTTTTTCTTTTTCTTCGTCTTGGCAATTTTAAAACTTCTCGACTTATCTGTTTGGATTGCGCTCATTTCACTTGACCACTAAACAGCTGCAGTCAGTTGCTAACAATACCACTTCTTCATTTGAACAAGAAAAGCATGGGTTGGGTATCTTTCTTGATTTTGATTGAAGTGATAATTGAATAAAAGGCCTTCGATCGAAACTGGAACTCGGTCTAGCAAACTAAACAGCATCATTTCAAGGATTCATACAGAGACCAGAATCCGTCCGGGAATTGAATTTTCATATTATGTACGCATTAATGCGGGTGTTCTTCAGGGAAGCATACTGGGACCATTTCTTTTTTTAATATACACTTCGAAAATTCTTACATATTAACATTTCAAAACATACATTCGCGATTATATAGTGATTCTTACTTTCAATATATTTATTGCAATCTGTAACCCTATATATATTATGTAATGAACTGGTTTTACAGATGACATTGATCATGTGTCGTGAGGGGAATTGACAACCATTGTTCTCCCAACTACACGGAAGGACTAATCCTCTTGTAGTAGGTCGATCTTCAGTCTGGTGGAATAAAGGTGGTTTCTAATGGATAGGGATTGGGAAACTCGATTGGAGTGAGAAGAGAGTTTAATATGGAAAGTAGAAAATGTTGCCAATGTCCTCTTCCTCGTCCTAAAACAGTTCAGCGGTCTTTCCTAGCTCGAGCTACAAATATTTTTAATTTTCTTCCTTTGCCAATTCGCAAAGTCGCCTCCCTTATCTCTTTTAAATCTGTCTAGTACCAGCACCTCATTTCCCTTAAAACATAGTGCCACGATTCTGTTAGGTCCTTTAGCTACATAAGAAAGCTCTCTCTCTCTCTCTCTCTCTCTCTTTCTCTCTCTCTCTCTCTCTCTCTCTCTCTCTCTCTCTCTCTCTCTCTCTCTCTCTCTCTCTCTCGCCCCCACTTTTTGTTTATTTTTTTGAAAAAAACAAAAAAGTTGTTTTTGAATAAAAGCCCATTTGTAAGTATGTCGGGTTCGAATGCAGGGCCGCTGGATTCGAACCCGGGACCTTTACCTTACAGTGATGAACGCCGTGTCAACGCCCATACCGTTGTGGCCACCGACGTCCCCTATTTGTATTTGTTATCAACTTTATGTTAATGACAAATTTTCACAAATTCAAGTGCCAGATTTTTAAACATTTCTGTAACCTTATTGTTGTTCTTAGCAGATCCAGAATAAAGTGTTTTTTTCTTTCAGAAACACGTGTCTCAGCGTGACAAAAGCGGAAAAATTTATACGTTTTGATTACTATAAAATTTGCACTTAAGCGCTTTAAACAGTGCTTAAAACGAACCCCATTTTTTGTGCGTGTTCTACTGAAAAAGACTTTTGGGTTTTGTAAATTTTTATATGTCTCATTACTCACTTAATACCATTTTTAGTATTATTTTATTTTCTTGTTCTAAAAAATTACTGCCATAGATTAATAAATACTTGAATATATAGAAATACAGCTTTATTTATATATGAACAATAATATGCCTACTAAAATACAATTACATACAATACAACAAGGGAATATTATAGTTAGTTGCAAATTATAACTGATACTCATTTTTCTCCAATGTGTAAATGTATTAGCCTTGAAATAGATCCAAAGCAAAAACAACATATGCATTTAAACATTTAAAAACATTTAAACATTATTCAATTTTTTTCGAATAGTTTTTCTCGTATTTTATGTATTATTGGCACTAATGCTCGGATATGTATCTAATTTTTTCTATTCAAAGTCTACACAGAGTTTCATTGAAATCGGTGATTCCACGTCCCTAGCATTCTCTCGTTAACAAAAGACAAATATATATCAGGTGAAAAAAAGGTTTGTGTTGTAAGTAATTGTGTCCTTTAGAATAGGGCAAGGTAATTTTACTCCCTGGTCTTCGCGTGGTTCAATATTTTTTCCTGTTATTTTAGGTAGTTCATAATAGTGATTCACATATTGTGGTAAAATACACACTTAGTGTTGTTCAAATTGTAATTCTTCTCTTTTATGCTACAAATGTTCTCAGGTAAGATGAATTCTATCACAGCCTGATTTTCCAACACCCCAAAAGCTTTGCTATGCTCTAGTAGCAGATGAGACCATTTTGATTGTAACTTAACGATATGTACAAATTATTTACATCATTTTTTGATTTCAATCCAGCTACTTCCAAACTATAAAACTACTTCTATATAAAAGCATCTAGGTATTACATAAGACAAGAAAACATAAAGTTCCTCTTGAAGCCGTCAATCGTCAGAAGACGACTCAGATTCAATTAGGTTTGATGTGATGCTTGTAATGTCGCGTTCGTCGTAAGGCAATGGCAAAGAGGATAGCAGGTCAAGGGTTAATTGTTATTTGTAAACAGTTGTATAATGTGTGTGATTTGAAGAGGGAAAATAGTTACCGCTATTTTCCTGAAGGGGTTTCGCAATGGACCCACGACTGGGTTGGCGTGACGCGGTGTCGGGTTTTTTGACCTTTAACCGAAAAGTTTAACCCCCAGCAGAAGGCAGCGTTTAGAAGGATTATTTTGCCTCTGGCAGACATTTCCGACATTTTGCATTTACAGTAAGTTAGCATCGACCAGTAAACAAATTTCACTCGATGATCACAGATGAATTACAATTTTAACAATTTATCTTTCAAAAATAAAAGGCTGCTTTATAAAAACTTAGTGAAGCCGATAAAGACTTACGGGCTGAAGTAATAAGAAAAATTTTTGGTGTTCCATTTTCTCTGTCGAATGAAACTACCCTGGCAAATCTACGTATTCTTTTTACCCAAAATGTAATTCGGTCCTGTTATCGATAGTTTAATAAACTTACCCAACCATCACAAAACATCAAATCCCAAAACTATCTTATCTACGAATCACCTCAAGCCCTCAAAGTAATGACGTTATTACGATTTAAAAACTTCTAATAAAAGTACTGTAAAAAGTAAACTAAAACGTCTCTGTGATACAAAACTGAACATAAGAAAAAACAAAAAGCCTTTATCAATTAAATTAATAATAATTGCATTCTTGGGGGCGTCGGTGGCAGCAACGGTTTAGGCGTTGACCCAGCGCTCATCACTGTAAGGTGAAGGTCCTGGGTTCGAATCCAGCGGCCCTGCATTCGAACCCGACATACATACAAATGTTTTTTTTTCCAAAAACACCGGAACCTTGAAGGTCTATAAGACTTCTGATGTGCATACCCTCGTAAAAACATAAAAAATAAATAAATAAAAATGCATTCTTCATGAAAGTAGACATTTCGAATGTTTGATTTAATTGTTTGTAGCTTCTTTTTTTTCAATCTACAATTTTATACCAAAGAGCCATTTTTCTTTCTTTATTTTTGTATTACTTGCATCATTTTTAATAGAAATTTTAAAATTTTAATGATTTTTTTTTAACGGTTTGTGACCTAAAAATGAAGTAATCAAATGTTAATTTTACCTCGGAGATAACTGAGCTTTATGAAATTAAGTACACACGAGTAGGACCAACTTTTTTGTGAGCGTCAGTATTTACAGAGACCAAGAAACTTACTTAAACTTTCCTCAGGAACTTGAGAACTGGTAAAAGTTTATCTTCTAATTGTATTTGTAATATTGTTTTAGATTAAAATAAAAACAAATTAATTGCATAAAATTTTTAGTGCTCTTTCCATTGGAGTAATAAAAAAAAACACTAGGATAAAAATTGTATGCAATACAAGGGATTTACCATAAAATTAATTCATGAAAAGGTTTAACTAATGTGTTTGTTTGTTAGTTTAGTTTAGTAGTATAGATTTATGTTTAAGTAATTCAAATATTTCCCCTCGGTGTTAGTAGTTTTTGAACACGTATAAAAATTTTCTTTTAGCCACGAGGCACGACCTCTACGCGGCTTCAAAGTACTTTTCGACGTAGACGGCTTCATTTTGGTATGATACAAAGTTAACGCTACATACTTAAAGGATCTGAAAGTAAGTCGAAGGGTAAGGCGACAAAGTCAAACAATTGTAAATGCTTGAATAACTAGCTGGTTTTGTCATACTACGAAGTAGATATTAATCGTATTGGTTTGTTAATTACCAATACATAACGTTACATGATTTACCCTTGGATATTAATGAAACGTTTCTTAATCCTGTACGGTCCAGTACCGTCCGTTTCTTATAAATAATGAAAAGAAAACGGGAATAAGCATCATTCACTTGTGGACAATCACGGAGGAACAATGAATAC